TGTCGTGCCACCACACTCTCAACAACCTTCGCAAGAAAGCGAAGGTTGGAGACAGGACGGTAGTTGGCCAAAACAGCCGGGTCCAGGGAGGGCTTCTTGAGGAGGGGCCTCACCACCGCCTCTTTCAAGGCGGCCGGTAAGAACCCCTCACTCAGAGAAGCGCTGACGATTCCCTGGAGCCAGCCTCGTGTAACCTCCCAGGAGGCCAGTATCAGCCAGGAGGGACACGGGTCCAGTAAACATGTGGTGGTGTTCAGCCGTCCCAGTATCCTGTCCATGTCCTCGGGAGTCACAGGATCGAACTCTTCCCAGAAAGTGGACTCAAGACCTGCCTCCGTTGGCCCGTCTGAACTAGTCCAATCGGAGGCCAACCCGTCCCGGATCTGATCAATTTTGTCATGCAGGTAACACCCAATGGTGTTAATGGAAATTTAATGGAAATTTGTTTCCATCTGAATGGAATTTGATTAAATTGGAATTTGACTAACTTTATATTAAAAGCAATACTAGAGTTTGATATAAAAACTATTTCAGTAACTCAGAATATCTTATTAAGCTTGTTTATTTTTTGTGAAGTTAAAACAAAGTTGAGAAAAAATTTAGGATTATAAATAGCTATGCTGTTTTGATTAAAGATTTGTATGCAAAACTGTTAGAAAAAGAGCTTGTGTTAACAAATACAAATAGAGTTTGGTGAGCTCTCCTTTGTTGGCTCTTCACTAGGTAATTTGTTTGTAAATATGGGCAATGGAATGGCTTGGAGGAGGTTTTGATCCAGAAGTGGGGGGAAAAGAGGCAGCCAGTTGCATTTTTGTCAAAAGTTGACATTTGGGAAGTCTCAGTGTTAAGTGTGGGTAATTTTAAAACAGGAAGCCGAAAGGAGGTACACACTTGTTCATAGCAAAGTAGTTGAAAAAAAAAAGAATGAGAAAAAGAGAGAGACATAATGAAGATGCGATAGTAGATGGGGAGGAGAAAATGTGAGTGGAGGCTGGATGAATTTCCCTCCCTTAGTCAGCACAAAACTGTGGATTTTATGCCTTACGGCAGGCTCTGAGCTTGTTAATAAGGGAGAAGGAGAATATATACACTGACGCCAAGTATGTTTATGGAGTCTTGAATACTTTTGGAGAAGAGAAATGAAGAGGATTGATTAATAGTAAAGGGAAAGAGTTGGCTCATGTAAGGTTGATAGAAGATGTACTCATGGAAGAAGAAAAGAAAGAAGTTATGCTAGAGTGGCAGAAGGGAAGTGAAGGAATGGATAATAGAAGGAAGAAACAGGAAAGTTGTTTTAAGTTGGTTTGCACAGACTTGTGAATTGTATGCATTAAGCAGGGAGACTGCCATTAACGTAGTCGGCCCAAACGTGTGAATTGTATGCCTTAACACAAGCCTTAGAATGTTGAAGGAACAAGAATGTACTATAGAAAAATGGAAAGAGAGAAAAATGGAAAATAGAAGAAAGTGGGAGGTGGATGTTGCAAGATGGGAGACGGATGTTGAAAAGAAGGAAGGAAAAGAAAGAAAGAAAAAAAAACAATGGCTAGAACACAGAAGCAGCCACTGAAGGGGGGTCGCAAGTGATGATTGATACTTTTCAAAAACAGGATGATTGTATTTATACTTTAGTTAAACAAATCTGTGATAAATACAAGTAAATAAAAAGCTTTACAACATTTAGTGGTGAGGCCATTTCAATACAGGCCTCAACTGGAAAGCTGTCTTTGTTTTTTTGAAATGATGTATGGGAGGCTTTTGTTACATGAAGGTTCAAGAATGTCAATGAAGAAGAGAAGAAAGTTACTCAGTATTTGCATAATGTGGCGCAGGTTTTGTCTTCTATCTCAGTACAGGCCCAGGCTGCCTTACCACCTGTCTGGCCATTGTTCCTGGAGAGTGGGTTCAAGTGAAAAGAACTGTCACCTAGAAATACCAGTCCTGAGTGGTCTCAACCATGCCAAGTCCTCTTGATTTAAGGAATCAAGGCGTGAGTCCATGGAAAGTCCCATCATAGCCTCTCCAGTGACAAGCTCCGCAGCTGGACGGCCTGAAAATGAAATTTCAACCTGCCTCACCTGTTGAACTGTTTCCATCTAAGTAGGAGAAAAACCTCAATGGATTGGACTACCCTGGAAATCGTGTTCCTAGAACCTGGACTATGTGTTGCAATATTTTTCTTCTGCTACTGTTGTTTCCCTCGTACCTTTTTTGGTAGAAGGAAGGACCATGGGCCCAATACTTTAAGGAACATTGGGGAAAGAAGATTCAGAATATGAAAACTTGCTTCCACAGGAACCTAAAGAAAATATAGGGAATTTATTTATTATTTATTATTTATTTATTTAATTTAATTTATATGCCGCCCTTCTCCCGACAGGGACTCAGGGCGGCGCACAACATATTTAAAACCAGAACATATATACAATCCCCCCCTTAAAACCGAATTAAACCGAATTTTAATGTTGCGTCTTCCGAATATTTAAAACCCAATGTAAAATCCACCCTAGGTCAGGTCCGCTTGC